TTCAATTTAAAATGTTTGCCAGTAGAGGCATTGATGTAAGTTCAGAACAGGAGGCTGGTCCTATATCACCACCAAGAAGGTTTGGTGATGTGATAATTATTCTGCAGCAACCTGTCAGAAACCTAGTACTTTCAGAGTTCATGTTGTGTAACAGTTATTCTATGAGAACGTGCCAAATATGAGATGATAAATGGTGGATGAAGTGCTTAATGCCAAGATGGTTATAATAATCTTATATTTGGCAAGCCTGAGAATAACAATTAATTTCTACATGTAAAAGTGCACACACAAAAATAACTCATTTCCTATTAGTTCTGTGTTTTTTTGTTCGTTTTGTTTTTTTTTTTTTTTACATGTAGTTGTAAGCTGTGAAGCAAACTGAATTTTTTCTGCCATTACTTCACAGCTCTCACACAAAAATCTTTTTCTCACTTCACTGACAAATTCATAGACCATAGTTGTCAGAGCTAGGTCATGAGCTCGGAGCTGAGTTACAAGCTCATAACATGGTTCCAGTCAAATGGCTAGAAATTCAATGATAGTATTCCAGTTAGCAGGGCCATAAAGCCAGAGCTTGTTGATAGTCATGGATAAGTATTCAAGCAAGGACATTTTTGTAATCTTTAGTTAGGTTTTTTGCAACATTTCATGAAATACATTGCTTCTATATTTCATATCAATAGTGCATATAATAATTGATAATAATAATGATAATAATAATGACAATCATGACTTGATATTTAAAGTGGGAATCTTATATGTGAATATTCTCATTTATTACATCGCTCGCAGTGCCCTTGGGCAAGATGAAACGAATCCTGCGTTCTGACTGCCTACCCAAGCGGGCAACATAGGTCCATGGGCCCATGCTGCTCGCTCAGGATTGCCCACATTGATCCCGCGCATGAAAAACTTAGAATTATAACTAAGTTCGTAATCCTTGGACAATTTCGGCGATGGAAACGCGAAAAGTGGCAGAAGACAGTCAAAACAAAGAAAACAGAAACGACTCTCGTTAGTTTGTTGTGCTACAAACACAGTTGGCTTTCTTTCCCGACTCTCGAAGTCAACACGTAATTCTTGAGAATGCGAAATATTTTTGCAACAAATTAAATCCTTTGTTAACCAAGCTTGTTCGGTCAAGATAGCTGGATTTTAGCCTCATTCTTTTTTTCGCATTTTTGTGGACCTCGACTTCGTCTCGGCCATAAATATGCGAAAAAAGAACTCGGCCAATATCCAGCCATCTTGACGTCACGCTTTGTTAATGACGCTTGTATGCGCTAAGCAAGTCAAGAAGCACAGTGAAAGGTAGTCTGGAAAAGCCGGAATCCGGAACTCTGCCGGAATATTTCAACGTCTGTTTTTNAACCTCAAGCAGTCAGCCAAATAAATTGATCCCAGCCGGGTGGAGAGTTTCGTGCGCTCCACTCGGTGCTTGTTTATTTTCGCGTCCCGAGGGGAGGCGCAACGCAGATTGCCCATAGTTCGGTCACACCCTCTGGTACCTCGGCAATGATAAGCTCGTATCGGTTTTTTTTTATGTTTTTGATTTTTTTCTTTGTCTTTTCGATACGAGCTTTGAGCAGTTAAATAGGCCTCAAACCCGGAGGCCAGACAAGTCGGTTGTCGGCTGTAACCACCAGAGGACTGTGTCTATATCAAGTGGGGATTGTATTTGCTCTTTTCTGCGGCACCCTTGGCATTCAAAGTCCAAGGAATACAAAAACTTGTCACTGGGTTGGAGAGTGACTCCTTTCGAAATAAATTAAAGAGTAAGTTGTTGGAGAAACAGTACTACTAAAATTTCACTTTTTGCAATTTCGCTCTTTAGCTTTCTACCAGCTAAGCAAAAAAGAAATGGGTTGACTTTTAGTGAGGATTCAAACCTCAAATTGTTTTCAATTTTGCTTTCAAGCTTTCTAACAGCTGAGTAGAAAAGAAGAAATGGGTCGACTTTTGTGAGGATTCAAACCTCACTCTTCTTCAATTCTACATCAAATGCCCTACCGTACCAGCTGAGCAGAAGAAAAATACTTGTTCAACACTTTTGAGCCGGGATTCCAACCTCATATCAACCCATCTTGTGGTCATATGCTTTGTCAGCTGACCCTTAAAAAGCTCGTGAAATTGTTTTTCTTATTCCCTACTAAGTATGATATTATGTTTGCTTTGTGAGTGTTTCATCTTAACAGGGAAACATTTTAAAAGATGACGTGTGTATCCACGGCGTGGTTATTGACAAGGGCGCAGTCTAAAACTCACAATATCTATACACCATATGTTTGTCAACATCAAAGCATTTTAAAGTTATGATGTCTTACATCCTAGCTTATTAACAAAGAAGTAGTTTAAAGTTGCGGTGTCTACATCACGTGTTTATAGGCGAGGAAGCAGTTTTAAAGTTACGGGGCTACACATTACGTTTTTGTCGACGAAGAAACAGTTTTAAAGTTGCGTTGTCAACACATCACGTGGTTAGCTACGAGGAAGCAATTTTAAAGTTACGGTGCATGTGTCTGCGTCGTATATTTGCCGAAGAGGATGCTGTTAAAGTTGTGGGCAGTTTATATTGCGAGCGTTTTTTTTTTCTTTTTTACACGAAAGCATTTTTAAAAGTCGTGTCCATACGTATTGTGTGCTTGTCAAAAGGAAAACGAAAAGTATTTGAATATAGGGGCATGCTTGACAAAATTAAACGATAAATAGATAAATTTGTAAATTCATTAAGAAAAGCAGATAAAAATAAATGAACAGTAAAATGAAGAAAACAAAAAATAAACTGATAAAATAAACTCCATCCCTACCCATCCCTAAAGACTCCACATATTGTGCATACGTTTTATGAATTGAATCTCAGTTGTCCACTTTCCTTTAGTGTTCACGTTATGATGATTCTTTTATCACTGAATGAGCGAGGTTGCAAAGAAAATAATAGTCAGTAGTTTTTTTTCCGGCCAACGACTAAGTGCTCCTACAAATATTCTGGCATTTTGAATTAAGATCTCGAAACTCGGACGTTCTATTTCGGAGTTAGAGCTTTTATTTCTGAATGGACTCCTCGTTTTGTTTCCGGCCAACGACTAAGTACTCCTACAAATATTCTGGAATTCTGAATTAAGATCTCGAAATTCGGACCTTCTATTTCGGAGTTAGAGCTTTTATTTCCGAATCGACTTCTCATTTTTCACTTTCGACATTCGACTTACGACTTTCGACCTCCGACTTCCGAATTCAGGATTTCGATTTCCGACTTCCAACTTCCGACTTCCGACTTCCGACTTCCGATCTCCGACTTCCTATTTCCGATTTCCGACTTCCGACTTCCGGCCTCTGACCTCTGTTTTCCGACTTTCCAAGTTCGTTGTATACATCCGACTTCTGACTGGGAACTTTTGACATCTGACTAACACCATCCGATTGCCATATTACGGCTTTCGTCTTCAAAGTTCGATTTTAGCTAAGCTATCTCTTTTTTCCAGTGTTCAACGTTTTCTTACTCTTAAGGTCAAACTGTCTTATTTAGACAGGAGAGTATGACTTCATTTGGTGGGGGAATGGGGACTATTTTATCACTACTTATTCATGGTATCAAGATAAGAGGGTTCTTCAGCTGGTTTAAAGAGAGGTTCATGTCCAGCAGTAACTGATAGGTACAAGGGAAATCATACACGATTACCTTCACACTCCAGACTTTTACACACCGTTTATTTTCTCGTATTTAATATACGAAATATTCTTTTGACCCGGAGATAGCAGATGCGAGTCAATTTCCCACTCAACCAATTTAAATTAAACTGAAGTTATACTAAAAATAACAGAACCGAAGAAATGATACACATAAAAAGCCATAAAAAGATATATTGTAAGAAAAGAACAAGTAAAATGAGACGTTCATTGTAAAAGAGAAAAAAAAAAAAAAGGTAGCAACGTTCTTGATAATACATACACCTTTGCCATAATGGCGGCGGCCGAGTGAAGACTAAAACTA